CTCCAAACCGTATAAAAAGAGAAAAAACGTAAATATAATGCTTTGGATGGTAAAAGTGTTCCCAGAAAAGTGGAAATTTTAGATTTGGAAAATATGTTCGTGAATCCGCTGTGTACCTAGAAGCAAAATTAAAAGAAGCGGAAGTTTTCGAAAGTATTACCCACAATGAAAAAAAAAGACAAGAGAAAAAAAGAAGTAAAAGCAAAAATAGAGCAGTGGGAACACACTCCAAACCGTTTAAAAAGAAAACAAACTGTATGCAAATAAAATGATTTGGATGGTGAAAGTGTTCCCAGAAAAGTGGAAATTTTAGATTTGGCAATTATACCAAGAAAAAAAAGTATTGAAAAATACATAATTTTTAGATCTAAAAATATTCGAGAACAATTAAACATTAAGCAAATTCTTCTAACAACCATGAATATAAACGAGTACAACCATTTAACATCTAACAAACATATTGAAATCGGGGAAAAATGTTATTCATTAATAACGTGCGAAGAAGATGCAAGTATTTTTGTTAATAGCATACCGTATGTCAAACTTTTTTAGAAAAATACAGTTTAATTTTTATTCCAATATTCGAACCGGGACACTTCACACAGGTCTTTATTGATGTAGAAAATAAAATATTCTGTTATTTAAATCCCTACGGGAAAGCGAAATATGATATTAGGTACCACCTAAATATTCTGAAAGACCCCGACGTGATAGTATTGCGAGTAGTTAGTGAAGGAAGTGATTCGATAGGCTATATTTTCAGTGTTCGTGAAATTATTAATCTATGCGAAATAAATAACGTTATAGGCGCGCATTTTCGTAGTAGTGAACTGTGTTAGGCTTATATGTTGTAGCGACGTAATAGATGCACTGTTGAAGCAAAGATAGTGTTAGATCTTTTCGGTGTGAAAAAGGAGACATGATAGGTAGCAGTGAAAGATTCTGTCGATCTATCTCTCCATATACTAACGCAATAGATGTGTAGTTAAAAGTGACTAGTTCGCACATATATTTCGTCAATATGAATTTTGTAGAATTCAGTCAACATCAAAGGATGTTGGGCGAGTATATCGTGTCGCTTTATTTGGAAGTGGAAAAATTTGCTTTGTGTGGTGTAACTAAGGAAGATAGAGAAAAACGTACCAAATTAGGTAGTTCCTTTACAGAAGCAAGAAAAGAATATTAAAATTTTGACATACTCGGCTTGCACAGACGCCTTGGGAGTGCGGTATGCAACTAAAGATATCGAGAGAGTTCTAAACGGGATAGGTGCTTTTGTGCCCATAGAAATTCCAAGTTTAGCTGAGGTGAACAGGCTAAGTTCATCGGAACAGTGTGGGAAAAATGATTTACTGTTCCATTCACTGCCGCCAGATATTGAGATGAAGGTAAAACTCATCGATGCAGCATTTGATTTTTGGGAGGAAATTAGTAGAGGTATTTTCTCAATATATCGATAGGAATTTTCAAACATTATTGTCACTGTTGGGGCAACCCACATTAATAATATGGCACTACATGTTGCAACATCCTATACGGCAACGCTCATATAATAAGACGCCGTGCTACCGCCATTTCAGCTTGCTCAGTCTTGTTCTGTCTGTCACTCGAGTCTGACTCACTACATTGTAACTTCTTCATTATTTTTAAATTAGTAGCTGTAAACGCTCATCATCCAATAAATCTTTACACATTTAGTATTAACAAACATTGGCTTTTATTTCAAACCATAAAACCACAACAGTCACAATACGTGCGGTATTTAGATGTAGTTGGAAAACAGGATGACTACACAAGTCATCACCATTTTCTGAAAATTTGTTACCGCATAGTGAGAAGTGGGAACATTACATGAATAGCACCTACAAAGGTGAACATGCAGAAGTATGTTGATAATGTTTCAGGTAGTTTAGGGACTCACAAAAAAAGTAGTTGAGGACTCAGAAGCTATCGAAGGAAAAATCAAAACGTTTGCCTTGATGTTCCGCGAGTCGAAGGAAAAATAACGAGTAAAATTAAAATTGAAGAAGGGCTGCCAAGAAGGAATTTGCAGGAACACAAGAATGCTGTATTTGCTCCTCCTGACGAAGAAGAAAGTAAAATCCGGGTCAAGGATTGTATTAGTGATGGACATAAAGAGAAGATTGATAATTTTTCGCCTGGAATGTCCGTGATGGTTCAGAAGTCGTGGTGAACATAACAACGTGGTGAACATAATAACATAACGGCAACGCTCATATAATAAGACGCCGTGCTACCGCCATTTCAGCTTGCTCAGTCTTGTTCTGTCTGTCACTCGAGTCTGACTCACTACATTGTAACTTATTCATTCTTTTTAAATTAGTAGCTGTGAACGCTCATCATCCAATAAATCTTTACACCTTTAGTATTAACAAACATTGGCTTTAATTTCAAACCATAAAACCACAACAGTCACAATACGTGCGGTATTTAGATGTAGTTGGAAAACAGGATGACTACACAAGTCATCACCATTTTCTGAAAATTTGTTACCGCATAGTGAGAAGTGGGAACATTACATGAATAGCACCTACAAAGGTGAATATGGTAGTTTAGGGACTCAGCAAAAAGTAGTTGAGGACTCAGAAGCTATCGAAGAAAAAATCAAAACGTTTGCCTTGATGTTCCACGAGTCGAAGGAAAAATAACGAGTAAAATTAAAATTGAAGAAGGGTTGCCAATTTGCAGGAACACAAGAATCCTGTATTTGCTCCTACTGACGAAGAAGAAAGTGAAACCCCGGTCAAGGATTTTAATAGCAATGGACATAAAGAGAAGATTGATAATTTCCGGCTGGAAAATTGTTCAGAAATTGTTGTGAACATAACAACATGTGTATAAGTAAACGACATATCCACGAAGAAGATGTGTCGTTGAAATATGGCAAGGATTTAAAAATATCCCAGGTATCTGGTCATCGCTGACGGAGAGATCCAGACTTCAAGTGGTTGGTGGATGTCATGGGTGCAATTACCTAGTTTCAAGTAGCATAATTCGGAGATTATTATTACGTTAGAAATTAATTATAAAATAAGATATAACTTTAGCACAGATTTATTCAATTGTTAATATTAAGAAAATTATGTTTATTTTATATAATTTTTAAAAGATTAGAATCGATCGATCTAAGTTTGTTAAAATTTAGGAACTTTTAAGACCGGGAGTATGTTAAGTCTTGTAGAAAATGTACTTGTTATAAAAATAGTTTGTGTGTTGAATGTATTTCTTAAAAGTACGTTTCGGTTTCTCCCGCAACGTATTGTGTGCGTGGGGTGCATTAGGTATCTAACGCACAGCGTGCATTAGTAAATAAAATGCATATGTAAATGCATTAGATGTAAGGTATTGTCTTAAGAAAATGTTGCAAATAAATTGAGTTCCCTTCCAGTCACGGAACGAGAAACATCATTTCGCGGCGTTTTCCTTTTACTTTTTTTAGTTACACCGTTTTGTGATGAGGTTATTAGTGTATCTCATCAACCGTCTTGCGATGGTTGTTTTAAATTCTTTTAAATTAATTTTGAATGTCTATTTTGTTCCTCTATACAATAATGTGCATTATTATTTTTTAATAGATTTCCATTAAACGATTCTATACCTTGAAATCTATTTCGTAAAGCCAATGGAGAGTACTCTCGATAAGCTTTCCAACGGTAGACATGTTGTCCCGCCAGAATTTATAATTGTAGGAGTAATGGCCGAAATAATTATCCTTACCTCAGGATAATTTCCAAAATGGGTGGATTCTGCGGCATCTGGCAATATTTTTGAAACCTTTTGATATTTCTATCGAGAGTACTCTCGATAAGCTTTCCAACGGTCCAGGCAGAATTTATCCTTGTAGGAGTAATGCCCGAAATAATTATACTTAACCCAGGATAATTTCCAAAATGGGTGAATTCGGCTGCATCGGGCAATATTTTTGAAACTTTTTATTATTTCTAAGGAGAGTACTCTCGTTAAGCTTTCCAACGGCAGCCATGTTGTCCCGGCAGAATTTATCCTTATAGGAGTAATGGCCGGAATAATTATCCATACCTCAAGATAATTTCAGAAATGGGTAGATTCGGCGGCATCGGGCAATATTTTTGAAACTTTTTATTATTGCTATGGAGAGTACTCTCGATAAGCTTTCCAACGATTGCCATGTTGTGTCGGCAGAATTTATCCTTGTAGGAGTAATGGCCGAAATAATTATGCTTACCCCAGGATAATTTCAAAAATGGGTGGATTCGGCGGCATCGGTCAATATTTTCTAAAACTTTTTATTATTTCTATGGATAGTATTCTCGATAAGCTTTCCAACGGTAGCCGTCCCGGCAGAATTTTTCCTTGTAGGAGTAATGGCCGGAATAATTATGCTTACCCCCAGGATAATTTCCGAAATGGGTGGATTCGCGGCATCGGGCAATATTTTTGAAACCTTTTATTATTTCTATGGAGAGTACTCTCGATAAGCTTTCCAATGGTACCTATGTTGTCCCGGCAGAACCTAGCCGATAGAAATAACTCTCCCGGCCTTTATCGAATAACTTAATGTTGTATTTTTGTGGCGAAAATAATAGTAATGTTAATAAAGTTTTATAATTTTTACATAAATATATGTGTTTTCAATTAAAATTATATTTTTTTTTTGGCCAAAAAAGCATTTTCGTTTTAACAGCACTCTGTTAACTTTAACAGTACTCTGTTAACAGCAGAATGGTTTGTGTATTTGCTAGATAGATTCCAATCTATCTTAGACCTATAATACCCTTACCTCTGTGTGGTGTAGGGTATACAAATAAAGGATTTATTTCACTGACTCTCAGACTCCAGTAATCTTTACCAATTAATATATATTTTTCTTAGTCAATAATACTAACAGGAACAATTTCTTATTATTTTACTATCTACACACTTGTGGTTAGGATGGATGAATGTCTATGTCTGCTTTTTTGTGTGTGTCTGTAATGGACTGAGTTTTTTTCTTATAAAACTTGTTATTAATTTCTTGTCTTTTTTTAATTGAAATCTAAAATTTAAAAAGAATTCACAATTCCTTTCTAACTTAACAACGCTTATGGACTAAACTTATGTCAATTATATGCAAATAATTTGTTATCTTTTTGTGTTTTTTTCTAATATCATACACTAGTTTACAAAATACTTTTTTTTTTCAAATACAATTACAAATTTAGTTCTAGTTTAACAGTAGGAGAAGATAATAAACGTAAAACATACCTTATTCTTAACTGGAAGTCTCCTCTACAAACTTGCGCGTATCTAATTTGTCATCGATCCCGCCATCAATGGGGGTGGTTATGGAAATATTAACACCCCCACTACTGCTGGCATTTAAATTCAAAGCTGCATTCGCTGGCGTGCCATTTCTACACTTGTTGTTGTGATATTGTGTTGGCGGGTGATGTTGATGATGATGGTGATGAGAGGTGGCCACGGGTGAGGCCAAATTCGTATTGGACTTCTTGTTGTTCAACAAATGTTCACAATCCAAAGAAAAACTTTGTGCTGAGCATTCTGTACCAGAGATGGTTTTAATCATTGAATTTGAGGTTAGTGATTCGAGTTCATGGGATTCGGAATTGATGAGTTCCCCCACCGCTGAACTGGAGGGGGTAAGTAATTGTTCTCTGGCTTTTATGTAATTTGGCTTACGTTCATAAAACTTAATACCACCATTTGTGGCAGAGCGTTTCTTGACTCGAGGATATTGAAATTGCATAAAACCATATTGCGGGCCGAACAGCTTCAATAGACTCATTAGGAAAAATGTGGAATAACTCCAGCTGACGGACATCACAACCAACAGAAATATGCCAATTTGACGATAGGGCAAAACACTGGAGAACAACATTAAGGCCCCAGCAATCCCTGTGGTTATGGCCGCCATGGCTGTGGGCCCAATAATGCGTGACAAAGAAAATTGCGTGGCCGCCAGCCTTTCACATGAGGGCGACAGTCGATAATGTATGCCATAGTGTAGACTAAAATCCACTGCCAAACCAATGGCTGTGCTCACCGTAACACTCTCCAAAATGTTTAGCTTCCAACCCAACATAATTAGTATGGCCACGGTCACAAAAATGGTAAGCAACACCGTTATCACTGCATACAAGCTTATCAAAATATTCAGCGTAACCAATAGCAGTACCACCAGCGAGGCTGACATTGCCACACTGATGGCCACCAGAGTACAGGTGGGCAGACTCTTCTGGACATCGTAAAACTTTAAATCACTAACAAACCAACCATCTTGCATTTCAGGCGGAGCTGTTTTTAATTCATCTTGAAACCAAGTCTCTACATCTTCAACAAATTGTTTCACTTTGTCGTAGTGCGTGGAGAATGAAACATTCGATTCGAATTCCACAACCAAAGCTTTGACAATGGGTGGGGGCGTGGTGGTTGTTACATTGGCCACGGTTGACTCCAATGTGGAATTTGGGGAAATTTCCTCACTCAACAATGTATTGTTAATGTCTAATGTCCTAGGTGATGCCATGAATTTGGGACCAGCCACTCCAGGCCAAAAATATTCCCTTGGCGTGGCATACAGTGATGATATGATCTGTGGTAAACATATATCAAAAACTTCGGGTTCATAGGGAAATTTGGAGATGTCACAACATGGAGTGCGATCTGTATCGTCCATACTGTTGACACACCTGGAATGGGAGGAAATACAAGGAATTAGAAGAAAAATTATAAGTAAACAAGTTAAATAGTATCAGTCGGTTTTACCGACAGAGGTATACCCCCAGGCCTTGAGTTATGATTATTCAAACTGTTGACCCTTTACGGGGGAGGTTCCGGAGCAGTTGGCCTATATTGTCAAATTCGTATCTGTCCTAAATTACATATTCATATCAGATTTCTGGTTAAGTAAAATATTTAGATGTAGCAAGTTGTAAATCGCCGAATTGTTTCGCAAGTTATGACAGACATAAGTATTGGAAATTCTGATCCTTTATGGCTGAGGTACCAGAAGGGGTTCGCAGATGTATATCATCTTCACAACAGATCTAGTGATAGCAAAAATATTTGTATGTGTGAAATTTGAAGAGAGTTGGATGCTTATTTCGTTTTCTTTGAGCGTTTGGTTTTTCAAAATCTTGAATCCTATGTGGGGGAGGTACCAAAAGGAATAGTTCGAGGTCTACCATCTTTATAACATATCTTGTGTTGATGGCGAAATTGAGATGTACCAAGTCTGAATGGAATCCGGTGTTAATTTCGCGTTTTATGAGCTCCATGAATATTCAAAATTTTGACCCTTTGTGGGGGAGGTAACAGAAGGAATAGACCGATATGCCCCATCTTTACAGCAGATCTTGTGTTAATATAAATAATTAGATGTGTGAAATACTGGATACTTATTTCCGATTTTATAATTGTTTTGGTTATTCAAAACGTTGACCCTTTGTGGGGGAGGTACCAGAAGGAATAGTACGATCTCTACCCTCTTTATAACAGATCCTGTGTTGATGGAAATATTGAAATGTGTTAAGTCTGAATGGAGTCCAGTGTTAACTTCGCGTTTTATGAACTTCCTGGATACTCAATATTTTGATCCTTTGTGGGGGAGGTACCAGAAGAAGTGGACCGATGTATTCCATATTCACAGCAGATCTTGTGTTAGTAGAAATAATGAGATGTGTGAAATCTGAAGAGAACCGAGTGCATATTTCGGATTTTATAAAGAACCAGAAAAATTTGTCCCATCTTTATAACAGATATAGTGTTGATGGAAATATTGAGATGTGCCAAGTCTGAATGGAATCGGATGTCAATTTAGCGTTTTATGCTTCATGGATATTCAAAATGTTGACTCTTTGTGGGGGAGGTACCAGAAGAAGTGGACCGACCTTGGATTTATACAAATATTGTGATGTGTGTAATTTGGAGGCAAACGGACTCTTTCATCATTTTTTATAAGTTTTAATTATTCAAAATTTTGACCCTCTGTGGGTAAGGTACTTGACGCAGTGGGCCGATATTGTCCATTTTCGTAACTGACCTAGCACTGCTGCAAATATTAGGATTTGCAAAGTTGGAGCAAAATCGAATTATCCTTTCTCCTTCTGTGCAGTAAATCATTTTCTTTGAAAATGTTGACATTTTGTGGGGGAGGTACCACAAGGAGTGGACCGATATTGTCCACCTCCGAACTCGATATAAATTTAATAATAATATTACGATGTATCATGTTTGGGTCAAATCGAATACCCTCTTCGAGAGTTATCATGTGCATCAACCTGACGACAGATGGACGGTCAAAAGTCTGAAACCGTTGTTTCGATGAGGCACGTTACATACCCTCCTCTGATGTATACCCTCTCTCTATGGCTGATGATATAAAAATGAACGTGATTTGTAGATAAAAGATCTTCTGTATATAAATACGTTTAATTCCATTACTTACATCCTTTCCATGAGAGTTATAAAATTTTCTATAAAACAATTCGGCAGCAGCATGCCAAATGTTAGCTGATAAAATGGCTGTTGCCTTAGGTTTTGGCAAAATTGTAAGAGCCAAATTTGTGCAGCCTTCGTAGACACATTAAAATTATTGTCATAGTGTAAGTTTCCATAGGCAAATGGGTTATCATAGTCGCCATCATCTACTGGTTTTATACCCCAAACAAAACGCAATGGCATTTTATAGTTTTCGGAGTTCTAAAAAGGAAATGCGAAAAGAAATTAAATTCAATTGATTGTCCAATTAAGGGCTTGTTTCTCTGTGACGATATGAATGTGAAAAACATTTGAAATTAGTTATTTACGAATTAAATCAAATTTTTTTAGAATCATATTTTGAATGGTATTTTGTCTTTCGCATTCATTTTCGTTTTGCCATAAAGAAACAGGCCGTAAATACGACTCTTGAAATCGATACGTACCGCCATTGTTTTCTCAAACCAAAATTCATGTTTCAATTTTGAATTGTAAATTTCAAATGGATGATTTGATACAAATAATTGAAAGTGGGCATTTTCGGGTAATTGTAAACCGGGTTTGTATAGAACCACCAGGCCACAGCAAATGCCAATAATACCTGCAAGCAATGGGGAATATTAATTTTCAAAATATCCACTAAACATTAATTGCAATTACATACCAAACAGGGTAAAGAGTATGGGGGCATAATTCAAAATTGTTGCAGTTATAAATAGTTCAAGTTTTGTACAGAAACTATTAATTGACTTATTGATCATGATGAGGAATTTTTGAATTTGTAATTTACTACAGGTCGTGATGGATGTAAAACGTTCCATTATTGAAATGGAGGCCGGCAGCCAGGTAACCATAAGGAAATAGTTTGTGATGACCGCTGTGCCGGCAAAGATACTGAAAAGACAAAGACAAAGGGAATAAAAATAAATATTTCTCCAAGAAAAATATAATATTTACCCAAAACATTTGATGGCCGTTATATAACTTGTATAGGAGGCATAAAACGCCCCGGTGGTGGTAATGGATGTGACAAACATTGAAATTGCCGCATGCTTCAGCGTTAGAGCCATTAAATTCTGCAATGTTTCTGTTTGTTCGGATTCTGGATTGGCCAGGGATTTTGTGGTAACTGTTGAGGTTTTTGTAAAACGTTCCGTCAGGACACACTGCCATATTTTGACAAATATAAAAGCATCATCAGCACCAATGCCTAAATGAAAAAAAAATTATTGCATTTTATTTAACACAATTTTATAATGGATTTTGTTTACTTACCAATGATAACTACAACAGCCAATAAATTCATGTATGGGAAAAAGGACATTTCAAATACTAGAGTATAAACAAAATATGCTAAACCTAATGAAAATATCACAGCAATACAAGTCATTATAGTAACAAATAGTGATGTGGTATACAGCCACATGCATGTCATAACAAAGATGCCGCCCAGTGCCACTAGCCAGACATCGGTTAGCAGCAGTTCATTGAAGAGTTCATTTTCCAAACCCAGGTCCATGGCAGCAACACGGACGATTTCATTGCTCAAGTCACTAAAAAGAGAAAAGAAAAATTAAAAATAATTTCAGGTCTTTTTATGTCAAATTTGAAAATAAAATAAAATTTTGCAATTCTTTTAAAAAGGGAAAATCTTTTTGAAATGGCCGCTCAATGTTCTTGCCCGGTGGAAACCACCACAACATACCATGAACAGTACCAGCAGTTGGAGAAAACGAAACCCATCAAAATTCATGCCAAGCCAATAGGTCTCGATCAGGAGTTGATAAGTGGGCATATTGGCAACAATCTATACCCACATGTCAAGCCACCAAACAGCAAAGTTTGGCCAGGAATGTTAAAAGAATCGGAAGAATACCAGGCATTTCTGGCACGTTTGGAAAAAAGTCGTAAAGAAATATTTAATCTCTATTACAAAAGTCCACCGGTTCAGCAAATGGTTATACAAGACATGTTCAGGAATTTATCAAAGAGCACATATCAATGCATCTATTCGCCACATGTTTATGTGCCACGTAAGGAGTCCCTCCGGGCTAAAATGGTTGATAGCAGTGATGTTAATATGCCTTATCAAGAAACTACATATCGCACGTTTTATCGGGACATTCAAGAATTGGAGAAATTTAAAGATTTGTTAATTGCCACCATTACAAATCGAGAGAGATTGGAATTGAAACAAGAACTTAGAGGTATATACAAATGTGGTCGTTCCACCTATAATGATAGCATAGCAAAACCTGCAGCCATATATGCCAAGCCAACACGATGGCCAGCTCCCATTGATCGTTACACCCTGAGACGTTCGTAGCAGCATCCCAATGAATACTTACACTTTTTCCCACTCATGAAATAATGGTAAAATTTGTCTTGTATGCGATACCGGTACAAAAATCATGGAGTACTTTAGGAATATGTTGGTATCCTGGAAAATAAAAAATTCAAAATTATTATAAAATAAAATTGAAAAATATTCCACTTTTCAAACTTACATTTATCTTTAGTATATTAATATCAGTCAAATAGTGTAATATGTTAAATACAATATTCTTGCGTGTGCACTCACTGGGTGCATAACAACGTCTTTCACTGCAATCATTGCTTAGCTTCAAATCATGGAAGTATTCGAAACAGGTTAGCAAGAGATTTTGCAGCAATAAAATGTCCTCATGCTGGAAAAAAATTGTGTTTTAAATCATTTGTAAATAACTCAAAATTTACTCACCGTCAAATCAAAACAGGAACTTTTATTGGCCAATAATGCAGCATAGTTGGGCAATGACCAGGGGCGACAACAATTATTGCTAAGCATTTCCCGATCACAATATTCTCCATAATCTTTAACTTTTGTTATTTGTTCCTGTAACTGGCACATGGCCAAAATGCCATTCAGATCGAAAAGGGAATCGGTGGCATTCGGTCCAATACGTTCAACAACAAAGTGGGAATATTCTTTGGCAGGCGAGTCGCAAAAATAACCCTCAATGGGCAGGCGAATATTCTCCTCACTTTCCGGTGCTGGGGGCAATTCGGCTTTTTGCAATAAAGTCCAACGACTCTTTTTAATTTTACTAGCCTCATCATCTTCGACAAATGTTTTATTCAGGCCATATATGCTCTCCTCTTCGGCTTTCGACACATTGGCCAGAGCTGCGGAATCATTGGTTATTTCATAGTCTCTAAATATACCATGGTCACCATGCCATGCTGATGATCCTGATGATGAATTTAAATGGTGCTGATCACCTTGTTGTGTTCGATTTCTATTGGCATTGTGGTTTTTGTGTCTCAAACGTTTCTTAAATGTCATAATTTCATTGGCCAAATCAGTTTTATTTTTATTTCGCTGTTTATTCTTTTTGGGTTTGCGATTTTTGCGTTTACGATTGCGGCGATTCTTTTGCCTGGCCAGTGACTGATAATCAAAGCCATTTCTTTCCGAAGGAGGTTGCAAATCGCTGGGATTTTCCACCAATAGATTTGATGGTCCAGTTTCCTGGATAAGATTATGCCAAGCTATCAGGCGTTTACCGATTTCTGTTCCACGAGTTTCAAAGCCCTGAAAATATAACAGAAATGAATAAAAATAACCATTTACTCAGTAGTTTGGGAAATATAACAGTTCCACTGTTTTGTAACAATCATTGCATACTTTTAGGCATGACTCTTTTGCATTTCAAAAATTCCCTTGCACTCCCAAGACACACACCAATCAACAAGTTCACACAACGCACACACACACATTTCCTATCCTTTAGTACCACTTACCAATGTTGGATCAGTAAAATCCGGCAAATTGTTCGTTGTCAATGATACAATAATACACGCCGTACAGAATACACTGATAAACAAGACCATCAGATAGGGCCGTCTAGCCAATATACCAAAATACCACTGCATGTTGCAATGCTTAAACTATGTCTGCCACAAACAAAATATTCCTGTGCCACCGCAAACGGTATGGTGTACCAGCGGATGTGTAAAAAAGAAATTTCATTCGCCAACAACTTGTTGTCTTGTTTGTTGGCTGGCTGTCTTTATCGTCGTCGTCGTCGTTATCCACCACTTGGTCCTTGTTTTGCAGGACAAAATTGAAGGAATTACAATTTGAGGCATCACATCATTGTTTCCGCATTCGTTTGCAAAGTTTTGCACAAACATGTTTCGATTGCAATATTGTTTGTATGTAACTATATATACACTAAAACGCTACACATATTTTATTGAATTGGTTTGTATTTCTTTGATTTTTAAAACTTGTGAGGTGATTTTTCCAATTTTTCCAAATATTTTCACTGCAAAATTGTTGTATATGTATTTTTCCTGCCAGGGACAAAGCGAAAACGTGTGATAAAGACAAAAATCAAAGCATAAACAACGATTATTTAAGGGTTCTAGAAGATCGAAGAAGTCGATATACAGGGTTCTGGAAGATCGAAAAGGTCTATTAAAAAAGGGGTTTAGAAGTAAAATTTTCTCCCAAATAAAAAAAAACGGCTGTACACTGGAGATGATTTTGCCCATCCTTAACTTATATGTTATGTCATTTTCAAGGTATAAAAAGTAAAATTTCGTAATTCCAACTAAAAGTGCAGGTACATAAATAAGTTTTTTCTATATATATTGTGGACCAAAGTTACACTAAGTCAACCTTAAACTCCTCTTTTCTTTTACGAAGGAGACAGTCAATGGCTAAGCCAATCCAAAAATCGTTTTATATTCTCACCTTAAGTCATCATAAATTCCCTGTAGTTTTTTTTCCTAAAAGCTCGCCGAAAAAAGCGCTCTTACGTAGTAACTCCTTTAAATAAAATCGAAGTACAGTCTTCTCATATAACAGCCATAGCAAAATATAAGTCTGATTTTTAAATGTTACGAGAAACAGGTTATAGGGCCGGGTTAATCCCTATGCTTTGGCACACCACATATGAATAATGGCGCTTTCAGTTTTCATTGCTACTTAAATATCGCCAATAAATACAACGTTCTCTCTATTTTCCTAAATTTTACCACAATTTTCCGACATTTATTTGTCCATCTTCATTGGGTGTTCCAACCTTTATTGCCCACAGAGTTCTATTTTTGTCACACGCCCACCGTTTTGCAAAAATCTTTCTGAAATTTGGCACTATCTTTCACAATTTTTTTCGGCCGCTCTGTGTATACGGTTCTTTTTTTGCATTAATTAGGCATGCAATTTTCTTACTCATAATTATGCGATTAATTGAAATTTAAAAATAACAGTTTTGAAAAATAATGATTTAAAAATAAAAGTGGGAAGAAACACAACACCTATTTTCATAACATTCCATTACTTAATTTATTTTTCCATTCTGACTCAATTGTGTGGATTTGGCATCACTTTTTACGCATTCTTCGTTACGGAGCGCTTTTGCTTTTGGTATCTAAATTGGTATTCACATTTCACGGCTAGTAATCGGTACTTTCACAGGGTGTGTGTTCGTGTGTATGTTCTATACAATATGGCGCTTGTTCAATTAAAAGCATCGTAATTTTTATACAAATTCAATCGTTTAAAAAGAAATTTTTATATTTTACATATATTTCCAAGAGAATCTCTTCATTTCTTGCTACAAAAAGTATGCTTAAATAAAGCAACAACATAATTTATATACAAAAATGGCAAAAGTTAAAGCAGCATCCAGAAAATCAAAGAAATCTCCAGCGACGAAGAAAAATATTAAAGGTGAAACAACGACTTGTAATGCTAATGAAAATGAACAATATGCCTATTTAAATGATTATTATGAAATTCAATCGAAAATACGTTTGTGTTTTGTTAAAATAAAACGTGATAAGAGATTAAATAATGCTGCTGTAAGTCGTGGTGGTGGTGGTGTTGATGGTGGCAATGGTGATGGCTGTACTAAAGATGATGATAATGGCAGTGAAACCCAGGCTCAGTGTACAAATGAAATTGTATGCAAGGCTTTAGAAGATCGAGTCAATGACGTCACTGCAATAGATAAGACCATCCCCTGCGTCGGGACAAGAGAAATGAAGGGAAATATCTTGGACATATCTCCCGGTGAATCGGAAGTTTTTGAATTGTCCTCACCAAGCAAAGAAACATCCTGCCAGTCGTTAGGCAGTGAAATTACATTACCTCCGAAGCAAAAATTGCGTCGTTGTAAAGTTCGAGTAAAACGTATGAGTAAAATACAAACTGTGTACACTACTGCAAAGTTTTCAAATAAATTTTCACAAAAATGTCGTGTAAAAATTCCCAAAACTCCAATGCCGCTCCAAAGATCTGCACCAGCAGCCGCAGGTGAGGCCCAAAAACTTAATAAATATTATGATATTCCAGCAAGAATTCGATTATGTTGTGTAAAATTAAAACGCGACAAAAGATTGGGTAAATTTGGTGCTGGCTGTGTGATTAAGAAACAAGACATAGGGGATGGTTGTTCCGGAATGATGGTGCAGGGTCAAAGCTTCACGAGTGTTAATAAAAGTCGCGAAAATTTGGGAGGTGTACCTGATGAGAACAGTTATGTGGCTGCAGAGGATAAATCCGAAATTTTCGAATTATCACAAGAATGCATTTCTGAAAGCTCCACACTAGAACCATTGACATATCAAACTGATACTTCCCTATGTGAATCTGAAATTTTTGAATTATCTTCTGCATCTTCTGCTTTGAATGGCAACGATAGTTCCTTTAATGAATCAAAAACCAGTGGTTGCCCTTCGAAGCGTGAGTGTTTTGTAAAAATTGTCAACATATCGATGTTCACAAAAGATCGTCTAACCCAACAGAAGCAGCAGCAGCAGGTGAGATTGAAATCGAATGGCTCGATTATGCCAAACAATTGAACTTCATTTGGCAACAAAGTTTACATCTATAAATCTAGATCTTTTAATTCTTTAGTATTCGAAAAAACACATTCCTTGAAGTTCAGTTTGTTTACATGTCCAGGCCATAAATTTAATCTCACTTAAGTTGCAGTTTTAAATTTTTCTACAAACAAGTAAAATAGTATCAGTCGGTTTTGCCGACAGATTTATACCCCCAGCCTTTTATCATGATTATTCAAAGTGTTGACCCTTTATGGGGGAGGTTCCGAAGCATATTCATATCAGATTTCTGTTTAAGAGAAATATTTAGATATAAAAAGCTGTAAAGAATTGCCGAATTATTTCACAGGTTATGACTGATATAAGTAATGGAAATTGTGACTCTTTGTGGGTTAGGTACCTTACCTTGGAAGTATAAAATTTTAAGAGAGTTGGATATTTATCCCGACTTTTCTGAGCGTTTTATTTTTCAAAAATCTTGAACCCTATGTGGGGAGGTACCTGAAGAAATAGTCTGATCTGTACCATCTTTATAACATATCTTGTGTTGACGAAAATATTGAGATTTACCCAGTCTGAATGGAGTCGAATGTTATGTCGCGCTTTATGAGTACCAGTAGGAATGGTCCGATCTTTAAAGAGATTTTGTGTTAGTAGAAATAATGAGATGTGTGAAATATGAAGAGAGTCGGATGCTTATTTCGAATTTTTTGATCGTTTTGGTTGTTCAAAATTTAGACTCTTGTGGGGAAGGTACCAGAATGAATGGTCCGATCTCTACCAGATCTTGTATGAAGGAAATATTGAGATATGCCAAGTCTAAATGGAATCGGATGTTAATTTCGCGATTTAGGAGCTTCATGGATATTCAAAATGTTGACCCTTTATTTACACCAGACCATGGGTTAATAAAAATATTGTGGTGTGAATAATAAAAAGACAATCGGGAACTTATATCACATTTTATAAGAGTTATAATTATTCAAAATTTTGACCCTTTGTGGGGTAGGTACTTGATGGAGTGGGTCGATAATGTCCATTTTCGCACCTGACCTAGCACTCATGCAAATATTAATGGAGCAAAATCGGATTATCCTTTCTTTGGAGTCAACCGATATTACCCATCTCCGAACTTGATCTAGATTTGATACTTATATTAAAATGTGCCAAGTTTGAGTCAAATCGGATGCTCCCTTCAAGAGCTATTGTGCACACCATCCAGCCAGACAGACGGACGGACATCGCTTGATCGACTCCAAATGTCCTGAAACTGATTTGGTCCAAAGAGACCCAGGCTCTAAAACCGTTATTTCGATGAGGCACATTTTGGCCGTAGCCTAGCCATATGGCTGAGGGTATAAATATTTTGGAAGGCAGCACTATTTTATTATTTTTAAGGTCATATCTCGGGAAGTAAGTGCATTGGCATAAAACAGGATAGCAAAGCCTTTTTGAGATATATTTTCAAGAATGATTCAAACTGAGCCCCTTAACGCCATATGGCACCTAAAAAAGCTCGTATCATTCTGTATTGTACGCTTTTTCTGTCGTCGAAATTTAGGGGATCTGAGATGACTATCCTTGGCTGAGTAGACCAAGAATTCATTAGGCTCAAGATTCAGAGTGGGCAATTGTAGTATTCTTAGACATTTTTGATATTCCAAACAATGAAAAAATAGGTATTGAAAAACCACAACATTTTAGAATAAAAAGTTTCTTTTTTAAATTCAAAATCATTAAAATTCCCTCTTTTCTCTTTCAGAATTAACCGCAGTTGCGGCCTTGGAAGATGCCAAATTGGCGACATCTTTGTTACAGATTGAAAATCCCTCATTGGATCAAGAAAAACGACAGGCCTTTACAAAACTCTCATTAACGAAAAGGAAATCGGATCAATTTAATCCAGCATCAAAAGAAACTTCTTCAAATCAAGATGAGTTCAAAGACCAAGATAAAGAAAATAGAAACGAAATTTCGGAAAAAGAAAAAACAAATCCAGACAACCTTAAATTATCCTCCAAAGCTAAAGTGGCCATTCGAAATACCCGTACAATGGCCAATATAAGCAACATTCACTTTGTTCCACAAAGAAATTCGACAATGGTTTTTGAACATTTCATTGAAACGAAGAATACCGACAGCACCCCAAAGGAGGGGAGATCTCTTAAGAGAAATGGAATTATGAAGGCTAATAAAAAGGATCGCAATAATAATGAAAACGAAGCTAATGAAAATGATAAGGGCAAACATGAGGATCCCAATTCGATGAATAAGGAAAATGTTGAAAAAGTTTTGAATGCTTCAGCAGATGGTCACAAAACTTCAAGTCAAGCCGAAACGAGAAGTGCCAGAACTACAAAGAGGAGGATAAATACAAGAAACACGAAAGAAGAAGCCTTACAAACGAAAAATCCCTCCAGCAAAAAACAACCCCAAGCGACGGCCATAAAACCGAAATCCACAAGAAAGTCAAAAAGATTAAGTAAACAACTTGAAGGGGAATCAGAAGAAAATGTCATTGGAAATGTCGAAAAAGATCATTTAACTTCATCTATTTTGGCAAAAGATTTGAATGGGGATCAAACACATGAATCAAACAAATTTATAGGAAATCCAAATACCTCCAATAATATTGAGATATCTGATGAGACTAAAAAGGAAAATAATGTTATAATTGGAACTTCTACTTTGGCCACTGAAATCGAAACCGTCCAAAGTCAAAATAAATCTAAGGAAAATCAAATAACCTTCAACGGCAAAGAGAAATCTACGGCAACAAATGAAAATGCCGGCATTGGCGAAGCCAGTCTAAGCCACGATCAGTCCAAATCAAACAACAATAGAAGAAAAATAACAAAAACAACACAAAAAACTATACCAAACATCTTTAGTAGGCAAAGAAAACAACTGGCCACAAAACCCCAGAAAACAAATGCAAAATCCATTGATGAAAATTCTACACCAATTGAATCTATTGAAACCACAACAACAACAACATCAAATGAAAACAATCAACAAGAAAACTCAACGAAAACCCATAAATTTTTTCATCGCACAAATTCGGATAAAAATAACAACAATGGAACAGCTGATAAGTTGCCAAATGTCAGGGCGGCTAATGGCATTCTAAAAAACACAAAACCTCAACGTGTACGCTCTTCACAAGTTCGGCGTGAACAGGTCTATGAATTCCTATCACAATCACAAACCTCCGATTCAGATGGATCTGGTGGTAGATTTTTGAAACCAGCTGATCCCATGCAAGATGTTATTCAAAAGTTAATCGAAGAGGGAAAAGTGGTGGTGGCCAAAAATGCCAAGGGTAAAGGTAGGCCCAGAATTAAGGGAGCTGGAAGGCCCAAGACAGTGCAAAATAAAGCCAAGTTCAAGGCCAAGGAAAAATTGGCGGCAGCTAAACAAAATAGCAAGGCCAAGAAAAATGGGGTTGGTGACAGAAATGCTGGTCATAATATGCCAACCAATAAGAACGCTCCTAGGCAGCCGGGAGATGTAAATGGTTTGGACAACGATCATTTTGAACATAATTTTATGGCAGATAATGATGATGATGATGACGATCTACCCATTACTGCTGATGTGGATGTGGACTACAATTTAAACCAGACCAACCCACAGGTATCGGAAATTCGACAGGCCCCCATGTCCGCTGAACATCAAGAGGGTACATTTAGTAATTTAGCCAAATCGGTGTTAATTAATCAAGCAGGACGCTCATCTGCTGCCGATGCCCAAAGAATAAAGGCCCAACGTCTGTTGGCCATGGCCAAGAAAATAATTAGTACCCCGAAAAATCCAAAAACACCCCCCTTGCAGACCGGCTTACAAGCCGATTTCTCACCCATACCATGGCCCAGTAAGAGGCCAGCCACAAAAGCCTCACCCTGGCGTGTTGATGAAGATGCCAATCTTCCAAGGGTATTTAATTTTTCACGTTGTACTGGAAATCTACCATCCTTTTCCAGTGATTATATTCCACCAACACCGAGAAAGGAAACGTCAAAAAATAGATCAAGTTTGCCGGAGCTGCAAGAGACACCGCCAATGGAACCTTTAGCACCACCACCACCACAGGATCAGCCATATTCTCCCCTACCCCTACCCCATATACCAATACGAAATTCGGCATCCTCAACACCCCTTGTGCAAAATAATTTTAGCGTACCTTCTTCATTTTCTTCAAATGATTCGAATGCCGAAAATCAACCTCCCTGCCGAGCTGAGGAAAATCAAAATGAAAATGCAGATATCTTTAATTTAAAGCAGCTTCCAAATCCCCGTCGTGCATTGACCTATCGCAGTCCCCTCAAAGCCATTAATATTCTAGAGGTTGTCCATCTACCACCTCTTCAAAAATCTATTTTGGAAAAATCTCAGACGGAAGTGCATGATCCCAAAGACATGACAGCTCGCGATGATGACAACCTTTTCAAGACACCACAAAAACAAATAAAAGACAAGAAACGGAAGAAAAAATCCCCATCACCGCAAAGAGATTTATTTGGATTTGAGGAATTCCTGTCACAAACGGAAGTGTCCAGCCAAGAATCGGATACAGATCAGCACTCAGTACATGAGAGATCGGCCAAAGAAAAATCAATACAATATGTGGAGAATATACACAATAAGTTAAATAATTTAAGGAAATTGCGACCTGATACTTCTTGTTTGGAGACAAGTTTACAGCATCCAAATGGACAGACGAAAAAACTGCCCAATCTTTTTAATGATCCAGGAGTGGAAAAAAATCTCAATGGCCAAAAAACCATAAGACAAATGCTGTGCTCGACAATGATTGATGAACGGCCATCGACCAGCAAAAAAGCTTTGGAGGAATTGAAAAAGCGCAATTTACCGCCCAAGGTGGCGGCTGGTTTTAATTGTGCCACAAATTTCGATTCCAATATAAGTGAATTATTCAAAGATCCCGAACCAGAGACAACCTTCAATGAAGATGTAAGTTAGCTTTTTTTAATTCTTTACCCTTTTCCCAACCTTCAAGCGATTTGAAGTAATTTGTTGTATTTTTAAACCATTTATGCAATAAATTATTTCTAAGGTAATCTTAATACCAAATCGCAATATAAAATGGTTGTTCTTGACAAAATCCGTTTTAAGGTGATTTTTCATGAATGACCGATTCAACAGGGCCTCAAAGATTTTAGCTCATCTTTGTTGGTAGTATAAGAATCAAACAAAATAAGCCTACAACGTAATTCCTATAATTCATAGAGGTAACAAGAATAAAGGGGCGGCCAATCAAATTTCATTAGCAAAAAATGGTTTCAACGCAGCCTGGACCTATTACCAATCGTAGGAAAGCAATTTATATAGATTCTTCTGAAAAATTATTATAACCTCAGCCATGTGGGTATATATCATTGATACGGCCAAAACGTGCCATCATTAGACTTTAGATCTCTTTGGACCAAATCCGTTTCAGCAGATTTGGAGTCGATCTAGCGATGTCCGTTCATCTGTCTGTCTGTCTGGCTGGTGCGCACAATAACTCTCGAAGGGAGTACCCGATTATATCCAAACTTGGTACATCGTAACATTATTGTCAAACGTAGATCGAGTTTAGAGATGGGCAAAACCGGTCCACTGCTTCCGGTACCTCCCGGACAAAATGTTAACATTTGCTAAGAAAATAATTTACTGTACAGCAAGAGGAAGGATAATCATAGTTTGCTCCAACTTTTCATATCCTAATATTTCCATCAGTGCTAGCTCAGGTGCAAAAATGGACAACATGGGTTCACTCCATCAAGTACCTCCCACACAAAGGGTCAACATTTTGAATAGTTACAACTCTTATAAAATTTGATGTAAGTGTCCGATTGCCTCCAAATTACACATATCATAATATTTTCAATTACCCAAAGTCTGGTGTGTAGAAGGTAGAGATAGGTCCATTCCTTCTGGTACCTTTCCAACAAATGGTCAACATTTTGAATATTCTTGAAGCTCATAAAACACGAAACTAACATCCGATTCCATTCGGATTTGGCACATCTCAAAAATTCCATCAACACAAGATTTGTTATAAAGTTGGGAGAGACCGGACCACTCCTTCTGGTATCTCCCCACAAAGGGTCAATATTTTGAATAACAAAAACGATAATAAAACCTGAAAAAAGCATCCTGTTCTCTTCAAATTACACACATCGCAATATTTTTATTAACCCAAGGTCTGGTATGAAGGTGGGATATATCGGTCCACTCCTCCCCCAAAAGAGTCAAAATTTGTGAATATCCATGAAGCTCATAAAACACGAAATTAACATCGGATTACATTCAGAATTGGTAAATCTCAATATTTCCGTTAACACTAGATTTGTTATAAAGATGGTAGAGATCGGACCATTCCTTCTGGTAACATTCCCACAAAGGGTCAAAATTTTGAATATCCATGAAACTCATATGACGCGAAAATAACGCCGGATTTCCACAAGATCTGTTGTAAAGATGATAGAGATCGGATCAATTGTTCTGTTGCCCCCTTAGGATATGTTGGTCCTAACACAGAAAGGCTTACAATTTTCAATACAATACTTTTATATGTCATAGTTTACGAAACAAGTCGGCGATTCTTGACAACTTGCCATATCTAAGAATTTCTCTAACCCAAAAATCTCATGAAATTGTTCGATTTCCTTCAAATTTTGCACATACCAATATTTTTATCTGTATTAGATGAAGTAACTCACGCATATTTCCACATTTTCCCAAAATTTTGCATATATCCCAAATAAAGTATTGGAATTAGTCGATATAGTCCAAATCTGACACGTAGTAATATTTATATCAGTCTTAGGTCAGATACGAATAGGTCAATATTGGCTTGGGGTGGTATACATTTGTCGGCAAAATCGACTGATATTATTTTATTTGTTGTGTACTAATTTCTTGTTTTTTTTTTTTTCTTTTACAGGATGCCCATCGCACCTACATACGACCCTATAAACGTAAACGACGGCTCCGGGAGAATAAACTGGTCTTTGTCCTCGACAGTGATGAGTCTGGAGACGAAGGTAACAACTCCAAGTCACCACAAAAGCGTAAGAAACGTGAACAACATCATAATAGCCATGAAACCGATACAAGTTCCGAACAACATCAAAAACCGGCAAAGAGAAAGCGACAATGTAAGGAGAATCCAGAATTGAAAACATTTGTCGAGGAGTTTCAGGAAATGTGTAAAGAAGTGGAAAGTTTTGAATTAGTTGTGGAGACGAGTGCATAATTGTAGATCAAAATTTCCAGAGAGGCAGCAAAGTAATGCAAGCAAGCGTGATGTAAATAAGTTATTCAAAAAAATGGTGTATAGAAATGAAGAAATAGTATTGTAATGCCATAGGTTTAAGAGTAAAATTTGTTTTCTTCTTTTTTTTAATTTGTACTTTCTTTTTGAGATCATAGTCCAATATTTTATATGCGTGTTTTTTTTTCGTTTACCTTTAAAAGGGGTCCTATTCCTGTGTTTTTCTTTTGTACGTTCTAATTTAAATTTATATTTCTTAATCTCTGTATTTCGATGCAATTTAGTATTAAGTAAAAAACGTAACAATTTTCAACATATCTATATGTGTATTAGTTGCTAAGATAAAACAATGAAACTCATAGAAAATAAATATTGATTGATTCAATATTCTTTTTTGCAATTGTGTGTTTAATATAGATCTTTTCCTTATTCCATAGCCCGGGGGATTGAGACACTTATTACAGACTTGAGGAAAATCTATTTAATAGAAGGAAAAAAGGTGAAACGTCTTTGGGAATTGCTTTCACAACATAAGGACTTGACTCTGGTCTCTTCGAAAATATAGCAGCTTAGATAGCGGCGTCCGAAGTTAAGTGGTGTTCCGACAAGTGTATTTCACTAGTTCAGATGAGTACATCAATATTTCAGACCCAATACAAACAACTCACGCTATCACCTCCATCCAGATCCAATAATATGGAATGCCATGTAATTGTGACAAATTTTGTGGTTAGAAGTAGCCAGTGCAGAAAAAAAAACTAGTAAAATAGGTTTTGCTGACAGATGTATACCCCCAGGCTTGAGCTATGTTTATGCAAACCATGATTCAAACTATTGATCTTTTATGGGGGAGGCTCCGAAGCAATAATGGCCAATTCGTATCTGCCCTACAACGTACCAGATTTGGACTATATCGACTACTTCCTATGCTTAATATGAAATATACGCAAACTTTTGGAAAATATGGAAATATACGTGGAGTAACAGATATAGCGGACCATTTCATTCTTCATCTAATACAGATAAAAATATTGGAATGTACAAAATTTGCAGGAAATTTAACATTTATATCAAATCTTAAATTCCGATAAAATAAACCTATTTATATCAGATTTCTGGTTGAGAAAAACATTTGATATAGCAAGCTGTAAAAAATCGCCGGCTTTTTTCGCAAGTTATGACAGATATAAGTAAATTGTGGCCCATTGTGGGTGAGGTAGCAGAAGGGGTTGGCAGATATATATAATCTTCACAACATATCTTGTGTTAGCAAAAATATTTGGATGGTGGAAATTTGAAGAGATTTGGATGCTTATTTCGCTTTCTTTGAGCGTTTTGTTTTTTTTTTTTTAATCTTGAACCCTATGTGGGGGAGGTGCCAGAAGGAATGGTTCGATATCTACCATCTGATGAAAATATTGAGATTTACCAAGTCTGAATATAATCGGACGTTAATTTCGTGTTTTATGAGATTCAGAAATATTCAAAATTTTGATCCTATATGGAGGAGGTACTAGGAGTGCACCAATATGTTCCAACTTCACGCCAGACCTTCGCTTAATAAAAATTTTGTGATGTGTGTAATTTGAAGAGAACCAGATTATTATTTCGGATTTTGTAACAAAAGGAATTGTCCGATCTCCACCATCTTTATAGCAGATCTTGTGTTGATGGAAATATTGAGATGTGCCAAGTCTGAACGGAATCGGATGTTAATTTCGTGTTTTATGAGCTTTATAAATATTAAAAATTCTGACCCTTTGTGAGGAAGGTACCAGAAGGAGTGGGTCGATACGTCCCATCTTCACACCAGACCTTCGCTTAATAAAAATATTGTGATGTGTGCAATTTGAAGAGAACCTGATGCTTATTTCAGATTTTATGATCGTTTTGGTTATTCAAAACGCTGACCTTTTGTAGGGGAGGCACCAGAAGGAATGGTCCGATCTCTACCATCATCATGACAGATCTTGTGTTGATGGAAATATTAAGATGTGTCAAGTCTGAATGGAATCGGATGTTAATTTCGCGTTTAATGAGCTTCATGAATATTCAAAATTTTAAACCTTTGTGGGGGGAGGTACCACAAGGAGTGCACCGATACATTCCATCTTTACACCAGACCTTCGCTTAATAAAAATATTGTGAGATGTGTAATTTGAAGACAATCGGATACTTACATCACATTTTATAAGAGTTATAAATATTCAAAATTTTCACCCTTTGTGGGGCAGGTACTTGATATATTGGACCGATATTGTCTATTTTCGCACTTGACATAGCACTGTTGGAAATATTAGGATTTGTAAGTTGTAGCAAAATCGGATTATCCTTTCTCGTGCTTTGCAGTAAATTATTTTCTTTGAAAACATTGACATTTTATGGGGGAGGTGTACCAGAAGGAGTGTACCAATATTTCCGATCTCCGAACTCGACCTAAGCTTGATAATAATATTACGATGTTTGGATCAAATTGGATAGTCCCTTCAACCGTTATTTCGATGATGCACGTTTTGGGCTTATCAAATGATACATACCCTCTCTAGCCATATGACTATAATTACGACGATTTGACACTTCCATTTGATAGTCAAGGGGCGGGAAATGGACTTATTTTCCCTTATTAATCGCTCTCTTTAACCATACACTCCAGTCTCTTTAAGACACACACTAACCATGAGACACTTTTGACTCTCATGGTAAAATACGCAAACGTTTTGCGTCAAGTATTAGGTTGGCCGCCAACTGTCAACGAAACAGCTGATAAATGCAACCCCCCTTGACAAAACAACAAAACATTCAAGTTATCAGTGACTAAACACCAACCAATACCAAATAGCATAGCAGCAGCAGTGAAAAAAATCCCTCTGTGATTAATGGATAATTGATAAAAAATAAATCAGTTCTTTTTTATCAAATATTTCCACATTTTGTAATAGATAATTTAAATTTTGTTAAAAAAAACAGGAACATGGAAAGTGTTTATGCTCCACTAAGCGAGTCCTGTGCCAAGGCACTGGGCGATAAAGTTTATGAGAAACGTAAATTGGCCTCGCAGGAAATTGAAAAGTGGGTGGAAATGGTTGAGATAATTAATTAATTGAAAAGTATTCACATAATTTGTTTTTTTATTTCCCCCAGAATGGTTACGGAATTCAATGCCAAAAATAACTCCGCACAAATACGCAAACTAATTGAGGTGCTGTCCAATGATTTCGCCTCGTCAAGGGATGCCAACAAGAGAAAGGGTGGCCTAATTGGCTTGGCTGCCACTAGTCTGGGTTTGGGAAAGGACTCTTCAAAATATGTCAGTGAACTGGTAACACCCATTTTGAACTGCCTCAGTGATCAGGATTTGAGAGTGCGTTATTTTGCCTGTGAATCCCTATATAATGTGGTGAAAGTGGCCCGTTCCTCGATAATACCATTTTTCCCGGATCTCTTTAGCGCCTTAAGTCGCCTGGTGGCCGACTCCGATCAAATGGTCAAGGATGGCAGTGAACTTTTGGATAGAATGTTAAAAGATATTGTCACCGAATCCTCGCAAAATTTCAATCTGGAGGCATTTATTCCTCTGCTGAAGGAACGCATTTATGTTAAGAATTCATATGTACGCCAATATGTTATCTCTTGGATTTCAATATTGAATGCAGTGCCGGAAATCAATATGGTTACCTATTTGACGGACATCATTGATGGTCTGTTCACAATGTTGGAGGATAATACGCAGGAGATTCAGAGAATGTGTGAGACCACATTGACGCAATTTCTGAAATCCATACGCAATGATTCGAGTTCGGTGCGCATGGAGGATACAATTAATATTCTTATAACACATGCCCAGTCGCCAAATGAACTGATAAAGGTAATTTGTTTTCAAGCTTTTAGATTAAGACTAATTGTTTTTTCTTCTTCTTTTTTTAGTCCACTGCCATAACATGGATCCGTGAATTTGTCATAATATTCGGTTCAAAAGTTTTACCCTATGCCAGTGGTATCTTTACCGCAATTCTACCCTGTCTGGAGTACAATGTGGACAATATGAAAAACATCAAAGAGTGTGCGGTGTCGGTGAACAAATCCATGATGAAATTGGTCTCATCCAAAGAACATAAATCTCAAAATATTGAACAATTAGATTTACGATCAATTATGGCAGTTTTATCACAGTATTTAACTCACAATTCGGTACAGACGAAAGTTGCCGTTTTGGAATGGATTCACCATTTGATAATACATTTTCCCAATGAGGTGAGAAATGAAGAAAATCTATTATTTTTATGAATATCACATTGGAAGAAAATACAGTTCAGACACCATCGAATATTTTATGAAAAAAACCCAAGGATTTGGGAAAGAGATGCGGGAAAGAGATTTCCGAAAAAGTCAGACAATGGCTTAAGCCAGTCAAAAAAGCCCCTTATGTACTCTCACCTAAAGATTTTCTTCGCATCTCTTTCCCAAATCCTCGGGGTTTCTTTCATAAAATATTCTGTCGGTGTCTAAATTGTAAAAACATTTGCTTTCACAAAACTGTATTTGTATTTGGAATAGATTTTAATTTAATTTTAAATTTTTTCATTTTTAGATGTCAAATCATTCAAGCCAGCTGGGCAATAATTTGCTAACTATTTTATCGGACAATTCAGATGAAGTCGTATTGAGATGTATATCAGTCTTGGCCGAAATTGTCAACTCGCAACACTCCAAAGGTAATAAAGGCAACGATAATTTTATGACGATTGTTCTCTGGTACGATATCCCTGGGGAGTATCCCCAAGTACTTAAGCATTGTAGAGATTAGGTACAGAATTCTTCCAAAAGCTACAGGCCAGATTGGCTTCGATACTTTATGTTTAGGTTGGCTTCTAGGTCATAACAACATTGTTGGGATTGATTTGGCTAATGAATTACCTCGAGGTAGTTCCCAGTCTATTCATATACCGAATGAGATTATACACCAATAATTAACTATTATAAAACATCAACCAATTTTTTTATTTTTCCATTTTTTGATCTAGAAACAACGGACTTTAATAAGGCCCACTATAGGAAATTCCTTTTAAGTCTGGTGAACCTTTTCAGTGACGACAAGAGCATTTTGGATTATAGAGCCAGTTTGATTATCAGGTAAGTAAAAACATTCCTATTTTACATCCATTCTATTTAACATTTTCTTTTTTTATTTAATAGGCAACTTTGTGTCTTATTGAATGCCGAATATATTTATCTAACATTTGCTGAGATCATCAATGAAGAGATTAGCAATTTGAAATTCGCCTCGCTTCTGGTGCGCCTGTTAAACAGTATTCTCATGACATCATCGGAATTGTTTGAGTTGCGTACCACCTTGAGAGATATATCCAATCCCAATTCGGCAAATTTATTCAAGACACTCTA